CTGCGCCACCAGGGAGGGCCTTGATGATTCTTAATACATATTGCAAGATTACTTTCTAGAAACTCTGTATCTATTACACCTTCAGAAGCAGTATGTAAGAGTGTCTGCTTTTGATTTTAAGTAACACAATCACAAAAAAATGAGTTGTTGAAGTTGTGAGAATGAGGTAGGAATGGTATGCCATTGAGTCAATGAACAACTTTTTCTGGTAATACTGAACTTTTAATCCTGAACTATTTCTCATGATCAGAAGCTCCAATTTTGTAAGCTGTCCATTGAACATTTTCATTTATATGTCAGTATCTTCATTTTACTTGATGAATTGTAAGAGTTCTGGTTTAATTTTAGGAAGATTTCTCTACTTTCTAATAACTTTAATTTTTTATTAATTTTATTTTCAAAACTGGAGTTAACTATTTTTTCTTCTGACAGTAAAAATCAAGGATCATCATAATCGAAAAAAATAAGAGACTATGGAAAATCATAAAGAAAAGAGTAAAAACCAGGCCTCTTCGATGGTGCAAGGGATTAAGTCTTTGCACTATGAAGTTATCTGCAGCCACTGCTGCATGGAGTTAGATTCCTGGCCCGGGAACTGACCCACATGATGCAGCAGACCTTTCCTGTCTTGCCCACTGCTCCCCTCAGCAGTTTGCCTGTTCTGCACCCCACTCTGTCTCTGGTGAACCCTTTTACCAGCTCCCCCCATCCCTGCACCTCTGGCCTAACCCCAGTTCTTGTATGAATAAATAAATAGATCTTAAAAAAAAGAAAAAAGTAAAAATCTCCTACATTCTTGTTCTTGGATTTACATCAACATTTTTGGAGTATTTTCTTTCATATTTTAACCCTACACGTTGAAGGGATTTTTTTTAAACATGAAGGTATTTTTGTTTAAAATTTATTTAATTATGTGGACAAGAACTGGGATATAGGCAAGAGGTGAGGGAGGGGGTAGGAGTAAGAGGATCCATCAGAGACAGTGGGGAACAAAACAGGCAGATGGACTTAAATACACTGCTGAGGGGGAGCAGTGGGCAGGTCAGGAGAGGTCTGCTGCGACATGTGGGTTATTCCCTGGCAGGGGATCAAACTCTGCTGCAGTGGCTGAGGATAATTTCATAGTGCAGTGACTTTACCCTTTGTGCCAGCAGGGAGGGCCACTGAAGGAATTTTTTTAAGTTTCAAAGATTTTGATTTATATGTATTACCTAGTTAGCATTTTTTTATTTTAATAGATTATCCAGTGATTTTGCGCATAGAAAATCTAATCTAGAGATCAGATACAGAGTAACCTTTAAAGATAGAGCTGTGTTTTTAGTTATGAGGACAACAGCATATTATAGCTGATTTTGGAAGTTAAAGAAAAAACCAGTCCAATGCTTTCACCTTAACACATAATTCCTTTATGCATGGTTCTCCTGAGGTTTTGACCTTGAGCCTTTATATTTAATTTGAGGTGTTCCAAGTACATGCATAATTTCCTATCTTTTTCTTTATTCATAATTATAAATATCATGTTGCTACCTGATATCTTCAAAGGTTGTTTCAAGTGAGTACCTAATGGTTTCTCTGGAGGCTGTGCCATTTAGCTGATCCCATCCCCAGTGATAGCCATTGAAGTTGCTTCCAATTTTTTTTTTTTTGTCCAGTAGTCTTTTGAAATACTGAAATCCTGCAAGGCAGAATCTCCCACTGCTTCCTGAGGCTGGCTGTAATGTGCTGTGACTTTTGTGTGCATATTCATCTTTCCTCAGAGGAGCCTTGGGAGAAAGTGCTCTTAAGAGAATGGCCAGAAATACATACATACATACATACATACATGTATATATACATACACATATGTATATATGTACATATACATACATCTCACTCTCAGAGAGTAATTGTAATAAAGTTAAAAAGACCATCAACTGGCCCTCCCTGGTGGCGCAGCGGGTTAAAGCACAGCACTGAGAATCTAAAGCCGCTTCCGCATGAGTTCGATTCCCGCCTGTCCCGGAGGTGACCACATGGCGTGGCAGACCTCTCCTGACCCGCCCGCTGCTCCCCTCAGCAGTGTGCTTCGTCGATCTGCCTGTTCTGCTCCCCACTCTGTCTCTGGTGAAGCCTCTCACCGCCCCTGAGCCTCTGGCCTGTACCCCAGTTCTGTATGTACAAATAAATAAATCTTAAAAAAAAAAAAAGACCATCAACTAACAACTATAAACCAGAGACATTCTACGGGGGAGGAGAGGGGAACAAGATCAAAATTGGGGTGGGAAGAGCACAAGGGATTATGGCAATGGCACATGGGTGAAGCGGTGGTGGGAAGTCCACGGGGATTGCAACTGAGATGAAAAAATGTACAATTGAAGAAAGATACAAACATATATATAAGTTAAAAAGAAAAGATGATAAAGGTAAAATTAGGAGGCTTGAGACCAGAGATGAAAGCATGTTGAGCTTTTAGGAGAAAGCTGCTTTAGAAAGACAAGCTGTGCTATTTAGGTTTTGCTTTTGTAGCTCCTAAATTGGGCATGAGTTTATAATGATTTGACAAAATGCTTTCTACTGGTGCTTTTTCTTGGAAGGTGTTTCCCTGGATCAGTATTGATGGTTTTTAATGCAGAAGACCTGGATTTGGATCTCTGCTAATCACTTGTGCAATGAAACAACTTCAAAGCCTGTCTGTCTGCAAAAATAAGATTAATAATGGGGTGGGGGCTGGTTCATAGGCACAGAGAAGTAATGGAAAGAAGTAGGAGTAGCCAGAGAGTGAGTGCTTGTGGCTCTTCCTGGCCAAGCAAAGAGAGAACTGGCCCTGTGAAACCAGGTTGAAGAATATTCCTGGGCCTGTTTGTATGGGAGTTTTGATGAAAGGGGGTAGTGTGCAGGGACCCAGACTTGGATCCTCTGAACTCACTGGAAATATCTGCTGTGCTCCTCTCTCCCTTCTACTCAGTTCACAGTCCCCAAGACCTGGTGAAGGCCCTGCTCCAGGCTCCATGGTAGCAAAGCTCTACTCACCATTCACAGCAGAAGCCAGGATCTGGAAAACTGGGTGGGTCCAGCAGACTCAATACATATTTATTAATTTCGAATATATGTTATTGGACTGTTGGCAAAATAGTTCAACAATAACCATTTCTTATCTTTGAATAGTGATCATTAATCATGTTTTCTTCCAGCCAAAAATAGAAGCCAGCCCTGCCTATAGGTTTGATCTGTGGTTCTGGGTATCTCTCTGCCTTTGTGAAATACCAGTAAGAGAGCACCTAGCTCAGTGGGCCATCCCTGATAATGCCCCTCAGGGCACTGAGCAGTGCCACACACACAGTAAGCACTCAGTCACGTGAGGCTGTTGTAATGGCAATGACGATAATAATAATAATAAACAACTGGAAGTTCAAGTGCTTTGGACTAGTACAGAGCGGCCTGGGACTAGGCACAGGACTCGGGATTGTCCCAGAGACACCCAGAATACCCAGATGCAAAAAGCTGAGTCGACAGCGGCTGGAGGCAGAGCCCGATGCTGAGCCAGAGGTCAGCGGGGAAGGAGAGAGGGATCGGATGCGCTTTCCCAGCACCCACTGCCGCACTTTATCTCTGGGTTCTGCCAGCACCACTCCCCTCTATCCGGCCTACTTTCCAGGGTTGTGGCGGTGACTCCTTGGGAGGGGAACCCGGCCGCGGCAGCGTCCGACCCAGGATTGTCGCGGTAGTCCCCGCCCCGGGGCGGTGACATCGAGCGTCTCCGCAGCCCCCCGCACCTGCGCGCGCCGCTCCTCCCCCGCCCGCCCAGCGGCTGGGGCGCCGGGAGTGGCCCTTTAAAAGGCCACGTCTCGTCCGGAGGGGGCGGGCGGGGGGCGCTGACCGTCGCCTGAGGCCCGGCCCCTCCCCTCCCCCCTCCCCCCGTCCCTCCCAGGGTCCCCGCGTCGCTCGCGCGCTCTCCAGGCGCACGCTCCGCCTCCGTCAGTCCGCCCGGCTGTCTAGTGTGCGGCGTGGAGCGGGAGCACCGCGGGACGCGCTGCCCAGGGCTGGGACTGCGAGATTGGCGCCCGCCGCCGGGCGAGGCCTGAGCCGCGATGGCAGAGATGGGCAGCAAGGGGGTGACGGCGGGGAAGATCGCCAGCAATGTACAGAAGAAGCTCACTCGCGCGCAGGAGAAGGTGAGCCGGCCGAGCCCGGGTCGCGGAGCCGTCTGGGACACCTGGTCTCTCCGCCCCCACCCCCGCCCCCGGGCGCCGTTCCTCACTCCTGGTCAGGCGCTGTCACCTCCGGACCACAGCCTTTGAGGTGCCACCGGCTGCACCCTACGGCGCTCTGCACGCCCTCTGCGGTTCGTGTCCTCGGCGGGGCCTGGAGGGGACGCAGTTTTCCCCTTACCAGCCTCCCCACCCCCGCCACAGCTGCTTTGTACCTCGGTGGCAAGTCTGCGGCGAAGTGGTGGCCCACGCTCCCGGCACTTCCCGGGGCGCGAGGTCCTGGCTCTCCCTGCGCGGGTGGCCGAGAGCTGGGGGACTGGGAACGAGGTGGCCTCCTGGCCTCTCCTAGCCCATGCGGACCCTGCAGGCGGGGCTGCGTTGCGGGCGCTGCGGGACGGAGCCGGCCCCCATTCCCCAGGGCCTCTGCTCCGGGAATCCCTAGTACCCTTGCCCAGCTCCAGGCCTCAGGCGCTTCCTGAGCCCTTCGGCCCCTCGGGCCCCTCGGCTATTCCACGTTTTCCCCAGCCTGCCCAAGGAGGGATGGGGTTCCCTTTCCGAGAGGTTCCTGCGGACTGGGCGCTCCGGCCTGGCCCCCGGAGAGCGGAGGGCTGCGCTCCCTGCGGGGAGGTCCCCTCGCCCGAGCGCTGCTTAGCGTTTCCGGCGGCCGGACAGGGGTGGTGGCTCTGACTTTGGGAACCCCGCGCCGGGCTGGGGAACTGGGCGGAGGAGGCGCGGCGGGCGGTGGGGGCGTGGAGGGCCCCGCTGGAAATCTGTCCGCCTTGCGCGGAGAGTCTCCGGCCCTCGGTGTGGGGACTGGAGCCGGGGCTTCCCGAGGCACCCTGACTGTGCAGGAAATGTAGGATTGGAGGGCATGGGTCCGTGTCGGCTCTGCTTTCTATCCCTAGCCACCTTTGGTTTATTAGATTGGATCACGCCAGCTGCTGACGCCACTTCCCCTGCCGACTCTGACTCTGAAATGTGATATTTCAGAAACTGCGCTCTTGCCTCGGTGGACCTCCGGGCGCCCCCCACCCCTGTCCGCGTCGGCCCCTCTCTCCCGCCCATCGAGAGGCCAAGTGGGGACTAAGGGACTGGCTGCCCTTCCTCTGGGAGGCTTGTGGCTGTTTATAAACAATGACTTTTGCAGCTGAGACCTGCGGGCTCCCTAAGGATGCAGTCACGTGATCGGGAGTGTGTGTGTGTGTGTGTGTGTGTGTGTGTGTGTGTTGGGGTGGGGCTGGGGTGGGGGGGCGACTAGAGCTTCCCCTGAGCCTGGCTAACAGTCCTGCAGCTCATTCTTATGGTCCGGGACTAAGGAGGCAGAAGAGCCTTCAGCCTAGCTCTAGATCTGGGCGGCCCTAGCTGCCCAATCCCTCCCCCCCAGGACAGGAGGAGGGATTAGAGTTCCACAGATAGCTGGCTGGGGGCTGGGGAGGCTGCAGTCGCCCAGGTTGGGGGTGGAGTGGCAGATGCTGCTGCCCAGGCTTCCTCCCCACCCCCTTCTCAGGACTGGGTAATCCATCTAGGTGCCTGGAGCAGGCAGCTCTGGGAGAAAGCATTTCCTGCTGCTGAGGGGCCCATGGAAAATGAATGGGAAGCAGAGGGTTAGCTGAGACTAGTTCCCTGCCCCCAATCCACTGATGTCCTACTGTGCCCTGGCTCCCCTTTGCTCTTGCTGGGACCTCTTCACCCTGATTGGCCTCATTTCTACAGCAATATCTTTCCATCATTTCAGGAGCAATGGGCATGGCCTGTGTCCCCTCTATATAAGTGGCAATATGTCATCACTGACCCCACCCTTTTCAGCCCCATGTTTTGTGGCTTTGAGCAGTTGACTGATAGCTGGCTGGCCTGGGCCAAGAGCTGGCCAGCCTGAGCCTACAGGGTTTCTTGACACTGGAGCTGCTTAGTGCCACTCTGACCCATGGACACTGGGCTAGGAGATGATCTCCCAGCAGAAGCCAGAGCAGTGGGGCGGGCTTGCTGACTGAATCGCTGAAAACAGCCTTCCTTTCCTGCCTGCCCTTGGGCTCTGCCCCAATCTGTCCTTTCTGCCATTCTGTGGCACAGAATCTATCACGCCCAGGTGCCCCTGACTTGGCTGACCGTTCATTGGCTTGATGTGGCCTCATTCAGGGCCAGCTTTCCCTGGCAGTGGTCTCACAGGCAGCCCCCCTCCCCCCTCCCCCTCCAGTCCCCAGAGTCCCCTGCCACAGCACTTCTGTGCCCAGCTCCCTGCTCACCACTGCCCCCCCCCCCCCCCCCCCTTGCCCCTTTACATCAGTGAATGATGGGGCAATGTCCTGTTGTTCTGGAAGGGTATTTCCTGACTTAGGACAAGCAAGGCTTTGTTGCAGATAGTAGAGATACTAGATAGTATCCCCATAGACATGCCTCATCTCTCCTCCTCCCCTCCATTTCTCCACTTCTCTTTCTATCCAAACATCCACCAGGACTCACTGGATGACATTGTGGTCAAGGAAAGCTAGACTCCTCTGCCTTCCATGAATTCTGCTTGGCATACTCCTCCACCTGCCTGCCTCCTGCGTTGCCCTGGGTGCTCCCTGAGACCATGGCGCTCACCTGGCCCCAGCTCATGCTGAGTAACTCCTAGGAACACATTGGCTGGGGACCCCTGAGCAGGCCTGGGGGTGGGCTGAGGGTGCAGGCAGCTTTAACACTTAACCTCATTTAGCAAATCTTGCTTGGCTGTTGCCCTGTGCTGGGCCCAGGCGGAACTTAGGCGGGAGAGAGAGTACACAGGGCTCTGTGCTGATTGTTTTCCAGCTCCTGGTATAAGGAGGCCCCAAGATGACACCAGCAGGGGCAGCCAGCACATCTGTCCCTGCTTGTGGCTAGCCCCAGCTATCGCCCCAGTTACCCAGAGTGCTGGTGCCATGTGTCTGAAGCCCAGGCCGGGGCCCCGTGAGGTCATTTTCTCATGGTGTTTGGCTTGCTGGACCCTCTATAAATGTCTGTGCCCATTTTTGGGCTTCAGAATGGTGGTTGGGCGATTCAACTTTGGGTGGAACTGGATCAGATGACAGAGAGGATTAGAGTTGGCGGGCAGGGCCTCTGGGCAATGGTTGGCATGGGATGGTTGGGGAGAAGGGACAGTTGGGCGCCGGAGTGAATCTGGCCTCTCGGCCCGGTGATCCACTACCCAGAAGTCGTGGTGGAGTGTGGTTAGGGGAGGCGGACCTGGTGCTGGTGGAACAGGGCTGATGAAGAGCAGGAGGAGAAAGGCCTGGCAGGGGCAGGAACGTGCTTTCTCTCTCCTCCATGGGATGCTGGCCCTGACTCTGCTGGGAGGGGTGCAGGTTGCTTGGTGGGGAGGTCCAGCTGGGGGAATTGGGGCTCAGGGCTGGAGGAACAGATGCTCGCTAGAGGGAAGGCGCAATGGCAGTTATTTATAGAGCCCTGACACAAGGCCAGGACGGTGCTGCTTGTCTGGAAAGCAGGGTCTCTTGGCGCAGGAGCCATGTTGGTGACTTCCTCGGGAGGAACATGGCCTATCCTCACAGCAGCTTCATGAGTAGCCATGCCACCCCTGGAAGCCCACCTGTGGCCCCAGGCTCCTTCCACCTCTCTCCTCTCCCTGCCTTAGTGAAAGTTGCCTCCCTCCATCCCACATTCTCTTTCTCTTTTCCAACTCCATGCCCATCCTTGTTCCTGAGTATCTGAGCATTTTTCTTGCTCCTCCCTTGTGTTGCCCTGTGTTCTCTTTCCTTCCATATTGTCTTAAACTCTCTTTCCTCAGGCCTCTGTAAACTTTCTGTACCCCTCCAATTTGGACTCAGTTACTTGTGTAGAGAAACTCGAACTAACTTGAATCGATGGCTCATCTTGCTTGCTGGAGGAGGCTCCTGAGTATACCTTCCTTCCCTAAGTGGGGTGTGTATGGAGGCTTTGTGGATGTTGGACTAAGGATGAGAGCAAGGAAGCTTATCCTCCAGATGTCTCTGGTCCAACAGACCCTCAGTGGGTCTGCTTCATGCCAGGCTGTTCTACCCATGGACGTGCAGAGCCCCGTAACTCCTGGGCTTCATGGCCCAAGAGCAGGAACTCGGGGACACGTGTGGGTCAAGGTGAAGGGTGAGAGCAACCACTTTAAGAGAAGGGGTGGGGTGGGGAAGTCAGCAGTATGGGGGTGGCAGGAGTTAGGTTTGGGTCAGATCTAGTTTTGAATGTCGGGGATATTTCTGAATCCCATGAATTTTCAAGAAACCGAGGTTTCAGTTCTTTCCCCCCTTTCCACACAAATGACTGAGTCCCCTTCTCACCTTGGCTGCCTGGTTTCTGGCCAGACCCTTGCCTTGGGCAGGCAATGGAAGCTCAGCTCACCCCTTATAAGCTGTGTGATGTGGACAACGTGAGGAGAATGCTCGAGTCCCTCCGTCTGGCCTTTACCCAAGGCCAGGCCTTACATAGTTCTTTGACCATGATATTTTAGGATTCCTGGGTCCTACCCTGTACAAGATATCCTGTATCTTGCCATAAAAGAGAAGAAAGACCACATGGTGCCAGAGAATGCGTGGGTTTGGCAGGCCGGCTGTCCAGAGCTTCTGACTGGGCCTTCTTGAGCCCTGTTCTCTCATGTATAAACTAGGAGGTGGTGATGGTTCCTCTTCACATGTCCATAGTAGAGAGTGAGGCCTCAGACAAGCGCCCAGCGCCTAGTGCGTGATCCCTGGTGCTGTGGTGAGCCCGCACTGCGGTTCCATCCCAGCCCAGGCCTCTCCGCAGCCCTCAGCCTGGAGTGGCCATTGCATCGCTACAGACAGCTAACCCAGTCGGAGTCCTTAGCTTATTAGGGAATACAGTGTCCCATTCCTGGGGTGTGTGTGCGCTGGGGAGGGCGGTTGGGGTGCCTGCAGCAGGGGAGGGCTTGGACGCAGAATCACATAGTTACATAGTTCCAGGGTGACTCCTGACCCACGGCAAGTTTTTTCCTTTCTGCGCTT